TTGGCCGAAGGTACTTACAAAAACTTATATTTTAGGCTTTATCTGATAGCCATTCCTAAGAAAACATTTGAATTGAAAGCCAAATTAAAAAAACAAGAACAAGTTTTAATTTTTTTTTTTTTTTTTTAATTATCAAAACTTGACTTGAATTTTGAAAACATTCCTAAAAAGTAGACGACAAAACAAAGGAACTCACAATGGAAGTCGTATAAGCTTAATTTTTAAAAATCAAACGGTTACCAAACATGACCTTAGTCTTTTGTTTGTGTTTTTTAAAGGAAAAAAGTAATCAAATCTTTTCTTTAAATGAAGGTCTCGTAGTAAGTACATGTTTAGGTGGTGCCTTTATTGGATCTCTATTCAGTGGCTGGATTGCAGATGGGGTAGGGCGTCGTCGAGCATTACAGCTTTGTGCATTACCCATGATAATTGGTGCATCCATGAGGTAAGCATTATGTGAATCATCTTCCTGAGTGATCCATTTCTAGTCAATAGACCCACGTTTGTTCTTGATATTTGGTAAATATTCAAATGCTGTTTGTTTACTGTATTGATTCTTGTACATTCTTTTTTAATTTTGCAATATAAATGCAGTGCAACCACAAAAAATCTCTGGGGAATGCTTCTTGGGAGGTTATTTGTTGGAACTGGGATGGGCCTTGGCCCAGCTGTTGCAGCACTTTATGTTTCTGAGGTACATAATATCTTGATAAATTTGTACAGTTTGCCATTCTCTGGAATTAAAATTAAGATCCCAACTACAGTTTGAGTTGCTTTTAGTTCTTCCTTATTCATTTTGAGCAGGTGTCACCAGCTTATGTAAGAGGAACTTTTGGGAGTTTTACTCAGATTTCATCTTGTCTCGGTCTTCTGGGATCCCTATTTATGGGACTTCAAGCCAAGGGAATAGTGGGTTGGTAAGTAATGTCCAAGAAAATGTGTGGTTGAAGACTACATAAAAGTTGTCGCTTCATATCCATCCAGAGCAGACAGTTCTCAATTTCTCTATGAACATCAACACATATCACAGTTTTTTTTTACTAGAAGGTTTTCCCAGGTGGCGGGCTTGTTTTTGGGTATCGATCATTCCTGCTGCTTTACTTGCCCTTTTGATGGAGTTTTCTGCCGAAAGTCCTCACTGGCTTTTCAAGGTCATAATCGATATATAATTTCAATTGCCTCTTGGGAAGTTTATCTACTAATGTTTGAGAGTTCACTTTCTTCACGTGCTAGATTGTAAATTGGTTGAGTTCAAAGCAAGTTTAGGGCATTACAGGTCCTGTTTCTTTCCCCCAAACATGCACATATATAATTAATTTCACATAGATATATCGTGCCTTGGCGAAGTGATATATCTAGTATTTGAGTCATTTTCCCAGGAATTCTGACTCGGTTAACCTTTTCTTTAATTTTTTCTTTAATCTCTACTTCTTCCTTCTTGTTCATGTTGGTCATCGTCTTTGATATCTTCGTGTCCTACTTCATTTCATTGTTAGTTGCTCTGTTTTTCCACTGGCATGGTTCAATCCGTCAACCAGTTCCATATGACACCACAAGATACAATAGTTCCACCATTGACTACCTTTATAATGATTATTCATCGTGCTTACAATTTCAGAATGACAGCATATTTTTCAAGGATAAATTCAAGTTATATCACCCAAGTCAAATAATTATCTGTTTCTACAATTCTGCATTGGTCTCTCATGAGTTCTATTGGATGAGCAACAAATTGAAGATCAAGCATCGCACACTCATATGCTACTTTATATTGTTTCATCCCGCTTTTTCATGCACCCTTTCTTGTTTACATTTGAAGTGATTTCTAACTTATTTTCTGGGTTTGTTTCAGAGTGGAAGAACTTCTCAAGCTGAGGCTGAATTTGAGAAGCTTTTGGGAGAGGCACATGTTAAATATGCATATGCAGAATTGTCAAAGCCTGATGGAGGAGATGATACAGAAGCAGTAATGTTGTCAGATTTACTCCATGGCCGCCATTTCAAATGTAATGTACAATGTAATCACTGATCAGTTAATAGTTTATCACATACTTCTAACTCTTTATGAAACTTTTTTTTTCTCTAAATTATTACATTTACATGTCAAATTTTGCAGTGATTTTCATTGGTTCAACCCTTTTTGCTTTACAGCAGCTCTCTGGCATAAACACTGTTTTCTATTTCTCTTCTACTGTCTTCAAAAGTTTTGGTGTACCTTCAGATCGCGCAAATATTTGTATAGGAGTAGCAAACTTTTTAGGTACGTTGGCTCTGATTGGATGATCTTCCAGTTCCGCTATGAGACTATGCTGGTATATGCCTTTTATTTTTTTTTTCATCCTTCAGGGTCAATTGTTGCAATGATACTGATGGATAAACTTGGAAGAAGGGTGCTGCTTCTTGGGAGTTTTTCAGGCATGGTAACTATTCCAGTGCTTTTCCGGGGAAAAAAAAAAAAAAAAAAAAATCTCTTTGGTTTAGAAGAATGTCTTGGTAGAAACTGTGAGACTGAATTTCAAAACTAAAGTATTATAGGATATTTTTCAAGTTCTATTACTTTTGTATTGTATATGGAATTTTCATTATAGAAAGTTCCTATAGGACCCTTTTTCAGGGATTATGGAATCAAAATAGATGTATGGCTATGCTCTTTATAGCATTTGGTCCTATCTAGTGTCGCAAACTACTCCTGTATGAGACCGATATAACTAAATTCGGTAAAACTAAAAATCCAATACAAATTTCTTTTTGGTGAGCCCCTTGATTAGGTTGTACTTTCTACTTGCAATTGGTATTTTTTTGACAATGCGATGTTTTGTTCTAGGTAGTGTCAATGGGCCTCCAAGTGGTAGGAGCAAGCTCATTTCCATCCAGCACTGAAGCATTCTATCTGTCTGCTGGTGGCATGTTACTGTGAGTAATTAACATCCTAATTCTGAAGTAAACTCGGAATGCTTAGCTAGACAAATGAATGTAGAATGTTCTATCAAGAAGATTTTTATCGTGTATGTTTTGACTAGGAGAAGATGAATTATGCAGGTTTGTTCTGACGTTTTCTCTTGGTGCCGGTCCCGTTCCTAGTCTCCTCCTATCAGAAATATTTCCTGGTCAAATTCGAGCAAAAGCAATGGCATTTTGCATGTCGGTGCACTGGGTACTAAGTTTCTCAGCTCAACCTGATATGATGTTGTTAGGATGTTCCATCTCTTTATTTATCTGCTGTGCTGCTTTTGATCTTTGCTTCCATCTCTTTATTTTATAATCTTGAAAATAGAACAAAATTTAAAGGGGAAAACACCCGACCTCCATAAAACAAGCTAATGTATCGATAATTAAACTTCATTGGATGTTTTGCGTTTTGGTTTGGCTTGTGGTTCCTTCGCTGTTTATTGTCTTCTCTTCTGTTTTCCCTTCTCATGCAACAAGAAAAGGTTATGGAAATTAAGGAAAGGAAATCTTGTAGATGCCTGACATTCTTGATGGTTGGGACATAAACAGGTGATAAACTTTTTTGTCGGTTTACTCTTCCTGCCATTACTGGAGCAAATAGGAGCCCAGATCCTGTACACAGTTTTCGGTGCATTTTGCTTGATATCAGTTATTTTTGTGAAGAGAAATGTAGTGGAAACGAAAGGAAAATCACTTCAGGAAATTGAAATGGCACTTCTTCCAGTAGAGTAGAGGTACTTGATACTTGGATCAAATCATCCTCTTCTTTGTTTCTTTCAGAAATCTGATAAAAGACAATAGTTTCACAATCATTTGAACTCCTAATACTCCATCCTCAAGGTTTTCAGAATTTTTCTTTTAGAAACATTGTGCAATGTCCTGATATAGGTTTCGGTTGATCTTCCCATTATTCTTTTCAGGGAGAAAACAGATAATTTATCTTGCAAATATTGAGCACAACCCCTTGTTCGAAGTGAGAGATTACAAGAGCATAGAACAACTTCGGAGTTTAAAGCTTCTAAACCTGTGCCCGGTTGCTTGCTAGAATGGTATCTATTCTCTTCAGGGCTGTCTTATATTTTGACCTCTATTCAGGTCATTGATTCTTGAAACATTTTCACTTTTTTTTTGCTCTTTTCCTTGGTAATGAAAAGAAAGTTCAGCAAATGCCATGGATCGCAGTTGGAACTTCTCTATTCATTGATTATTATGCAATTTGACCTCTTTTCCTTGATATTGTGTGGTTGAATTGTAGCTTATTTTTTTGTCATTACCTATTGTGCTGTTGTTGAGCCATCATTGTCCCAGGGATGTAGCCCTCTAAACAATTTGGACAGGATTTTGATTGAGATGTAGCTCTTTTCCAGATTCGCTTAAATGTCGGTATTGTGTGCGCGAGATATGGAGAGGTGCATTATCTCAATCATTGAGGATAACTTGTCATTTTAACTAAACAAACAAAATTGAGATTGAAATTTAGGTGATTTACCTGTTCTTTGCCTCTTCATTCTCTTGTTCATCAAAAACATACTTGAAATATATCAAAATGGTCAACTTTGATAACGATTTTATGTCTAATTTTTTTCATTTTCAGAAGTTTGGCTGGTTTACTAAGCCTGGTTTTATAACCAATTTTGTTGTTTTGGTTTTTCAAAATGAAGCAGTGGAATAAAAATGGAAAAAAATGATTATAGGTGTCTACACATGCAGTACTTATATTGATAGAAAACGAAGAATAGGTTGATCTTTTTAATAGATTTTTGAATATTAAAGATTTCTATAACATGCATTCAACTGGTGAGTTTATAGCTTGTAGAAGTTAATACAGTACAAAGTTTAGTATTTTTATAAACTTGAATTATACTCTAAAATCATGGACACCACTAGTGGATGTCAAAAAATTATAACCACATGGCAATATGCATCAACATTATAACACTTGAATTAAAGAACACAGAAACTTGTGGAAATGGAAAGACCAAAGAAATAAAAAAGTACTCAACTTCAATCTAGACCATTTGAATTAAAGAACACAAACTTTCCAGAATAAATTTTTGCAGGGTAAAGAAAGAAGCATATTATTTTATCGTGCAACTTCTGCAGGGTAATTTAATCACAAACTAATCAGCGAGTACCTGAACTACAGGGTGAAAACGGGAAGTAAAAAAGAATGAGCCCCCTACTAGGCCTACTACACAATACAAGATATGCCTTTCCAGGGAAGTTGGTTCTCTGTAAGCATGTGATGATGCTTCAAGCAAAAAAAAAAATTAAATGCAACATTGAAGCATTTTTCTTTTTATATTAATATAACTGTACTTGTTATTGTATTTGCTCCCTTTGCCTGGGGGCACAATCACCGTTTTAGATTTGTAGTAGAAGTACCTTCAACATGCCGCTGCATGGCCACCACAGGCTCGCTACATCTGGAACATCTAAATGATTGAGCTGCCATGCATCGCGTCCGAAGGCAATAGTAACAGTATCTGGCAGATAGAAAAAAAGAAACATAAATAGGAGTTGCTAATAATTTTCTCCATCTCATGCCTATGCTGATGAGACTGTGAGAATAAATGTATACAATTATACAGACATGAAATCCAGCTATCTTTGGAAATACATCTATGAGTGTTGCTTGACAGTTAACATCAGAATTTCAAATCTTCTATTGCTCTTTTCAATTTCTGCTGGTGAACTTAAGAAGCTTGGACTGTCAAACATGCAGGAAATTCAAAAACATTGGAGAAAAATACTGATTGCGCATTAGACTTGTTTGTCATACTTCTACCAAATATATAATTGTACGATCATACTTGATTTTTCTTTTAGGAAACTTTGCATTCTTTTAGGAAACTTTGCAATAGATATTGAGTTATTTAAATTTTGTTCATTTGGTTAGCATAGAACTAACTACATCAACCAACATTCTTATGTTTATAACATTTATTTTATTACCGAATTCAAGAAAAAAACAAATTGAGTATTTGATTGAAAAGTATAATATGTATGTCTGAACTTTTATTCCAGTGTCCTACATTTTTGGAATAAACACAACTAATTTTTTTGTTTTGTTTGTTCCTTTTTTTATAGGACGAATAGTAGTTTTTTGGTTTAACAATACAATGATGTCAGAAAAATGACTAACCTGTGTTGACAAGGCAAAGCCAGAAACGGAATTGTAGGATTTGCCAAGCAAATTGGACAAGCACTGTCATCCTCGGCTGAGCTTGAAGGCTTATCCTTAGAAAATGGACGAAGAAAGTTTCGTACAGTAGAAGAATTTAGAAGAGGAAGGAGCAATAGCAACATTTCCTGTTATCAGCAGAAAAAAATTAAACGTTAAGGAGGACAAATGCTCCCTACTATGGACAATAACGTTACAATTAGCATGGCATTGGGCAAAAAAATTGAAACCCTTCTTCCCACATTCATGCATGCATGCATATACTAAACAATACTGAACCACTGAAAACCAAATGAAAAACCTATATGAACTACTTGAAACTTGAAGTAAATTTAAATTCTATCTAGATGAAAATTTTCATCAAACATACAGTTCTTCCATGCTAGACTTAAAACAGGACACAACCAGAGAATATGTATCATGCTTGACTTGAAATAGAATGCCACTTCTAGAGAAAATGGAAGAGGGTGATGAGCTAATCATCATATGGTTAACAATAACACATTACGAGAAAATATGTGCCTGAAATCAAGAAAGAAATGTGACAATTAGTTCTAAACTAGTAAAAAATCCAACGCTTCTGCAACAAACTAGAAGGAAGAGAAAAAGTTACCGAGAATTCATTCCACACTAACTGGCGATTCATATACTCAAAGCTTACAGCCCTGTTCATATTAGGACTCCCATAAACAAGCCTGGCTCTGAGAACCCTTTCCACAAGATTTCTATACCTGCACCACACCAAAAATAAGATGCTACAAAACAAGTTGACCAAGAAGGTAAATTACTCATGATAACCGACAACCACCACTTTTATATAAGTCCCACAACACAAATACTTAAACCATTTAAACCAATACAACTGAGTGACAAGCATATGAGAGAAGGATCATCGACACAAGTTTCAACAATATGACTGTAGAAGTAATTAAATTGTCTCAGCCAATGTCTAGATTGAGTGAAAAGTAAAGCAGTCAAATGTATCCGCAGAATGCTAATTCAGGCTTAAACAGAATAACGGAATGCTCCCGATTCATCGGCAGACACATTAATATAGAAACCCAACATGTCCTTTGACTGATAAATAAAATGAAGCATTCATTCTCTAGTCCCTACCGACAGAAACTTGTATATTATCGATGGAAAAATAATTTCATTTTCCTTTTTCCATCGTAAAACAAAACAGAAGAAATGAAGGGAAATCACTAAGCCCTGAATCTGATAAGTATGCTTTTCACTTGCACAATATATACATACATACAATATATATATATATATATATATATATATATATATTTTTTTTTTTTTTTTTTTTTTTTTTTTTTTTTAAATTTATAAGAAATCATTTCATTGATAGTACGAGCACGGAATCCTTTGAAAACACCTTTTTAGCATGAATTATGCACAAATAATCCCTTCAAGCTGTTGGAGTGGAAGAGTCTATTGAGAAGGAAACACATCGAATGCTGAAAACCATACCTTCCTGTGTACAGAAATATGAGCAAGTTGCCAAATGCAGCAGCTTTGTATATTCCTTCTATGCGCTGTATCAAAAGCCATGCTCGTCTAGCCAGTGTCCTCTGAACAAAATACAGGGTTAATCTCAACAAACATCCAAAACTAGAAGGTTGTCCACGTGGTAGGGGTGGTGACTTTCTGAAAATCAGTACCTGCTCTGAATCTCCCCATCTACGGAAGGCAGAAAATGATTGTAAACGAGTCCACATGTATTGACCGCCCACAGTGGCCACGCAATACCAAATCTTTTGAGCAACTGTGAGGCCAGGTCCTTCCAATCCAGTTCTAACTGTATTGCAGAAGAAGTCCAGAGCCATGAGTAAATCAAGTAGTTTAGCAAAAAATTTAATAATGTTTTCATGAATGGAACTAGTAATTGACAATCGTATTGCTAATTGCTATGAAGATTTAATCATAGCAGTTCCATGGCTGCTTGAATTTTAATTCTAAGAACTTCATAATGAATTTATAATTATCTTACAATGTCAAGTTTGAATAAAACTGATTTCATTCCTACATCATCCTGACAATAACAATCGGTTAAAAAAGAAGCATAGCAGGAGCTGTTTAGACCACCTTACCTTTTCCTGGAACCTCCAATGCACGTTCGTCTCGGTACCGCAAATTCATGAGAGAAATTCCCGGTGTGGGCTTGTCTACCCAAATTGAAAACCGCCAAATAAGGAACTCCAAAAAAGCATCAAGCTCAGCTTCATATTGAAACAACATTCCTGGCTAATCCATCAAAGTAGAACAAAATACTGAATGACGCCTAGATAACTTCACTGGCCAAGTATTTACATTTCGAAGTCAGAATAAGGAGCAACAGATACCTTCATCAAAGCAAAGACCTTAACCAGCTGTTCTTTCAACATGGCCGACATTTCAATATCTAGCCGTGCCGCATCCACTTGATTAACTTTCGATATCGAAATTGGAATGGCCGACTACAGAATCGACAGGAAAAAAACATAGAGAGAATCATAAATTACTACGGATATACCAACCAATAACAAATTAAAACAAATGCAGCTAAAGGTGCACGTACAAGAAAATCTGACTTTCACATGACTTGATTAACGAAACAAACAATAAGCCAGAAGCTCAATTTACACGAATGGAACATTTCCAACCATATCGCATAGATGATCATCGGTAAAGCTATTTATTACAAACGAACTCAAATATATACAAATAAACAAATGAATACGAGACATACACCGTAGAGTCGAGGCAGCTATGAACAAATAAAACAGACATTCGTGAAGAAGGTTTAGGGCGAGAGAGAGAGAGAGAGAAAGAGAGGGATATGAAGGTACCAGGTGAGAGTGGGAAAGAGATTTCCAGCGAGGATGTAGTCGCTGATAAGCACGACTCCACGCATCTTCAGGAGGTGGTGGAAGATTGAAGTTGCTGGTGGAAGGGGGCGAAGCAGTGGAGGAGGCTGCTGCTAGGGCTTCTAAGACCATGACAAATATCAGGGTTGCAGAGAGAAGCGGTGAAGAAGAAGGAGCTCCGTCGTGCTGGTAATGGCGGGAGAGGAACTGTAGAAGAAGAAGAAGAAAAGTGATTGACGAAGAGCGACGCCAAACGCGGAGCAACCGCTACCTCATCAATCAGCTCCGTTTGGGTCTGTGTGCCCTTTTTTCCTTTGGGCAACACAAATTGGATCCTCTGCCCAACCAAACACGGTCCAAAAAAAAAAAATCCTCAAAATAAAATAAATATTATTATTTTTCTTTGATAAAAGATAAATTATTTTAATTTGCCTGCACACATGAAGAATACTAACATTATTTTAGGTAATTCTAAATTTTTAAATATTTTATAATTTCCCAAGTTAAAATGTTATTTATCTTTATATTTAATCAAATATCGATTCAGACCCTGACATGTCCATAGAAATTTAATATTTTTTTTCTTGTTTGAAATTGTTCGAAGTCATTTTATATAATATTAATGAAAATGATGGAAGTCATTTTATATAATATTAATGAAAATGTTTAATTAATGGTATATTTATAGTACTCTTTCAAATATCTTCTGAATCAAATGTACACTTACAGGGACACATCTCTCTTAGCATATTCAGCGGTGGTTATCACGATCATGATCTAGTTTATCCTATCAGCCTCTCGTCACGTCCGGTAGATCACAATGGCATGATTTGCAAATTTGTTCCCTCTAAGGCTCTAAAGATTGCTCGTAGGTCGTACGAGCAGCGGGTACGAAAACAGTTTGCTAAAGTTAATTGAGGTTCGATAACACAGGATGTCGGTATGGGCGATGTGTAAAACTGTCATCAACAAAACCACTAGTAATATGTTTGAACAGAGCATCTGTCCCTAACTTGACTTCAAATATGAAAAACAGAAGGGGTGAGGAAAAAAGATGGCATTTCATGACTAGGGGACGACTACAAGATAAACCAGGTAAGACCTTAAGGTCTTTAACTATTGACAGTAGGGTAAAATGCCTAATCTCTGCCATATCCTCTCCCAGCTATTGTTAAGATACCTGAATATAGACCATCTGTGTGTATCCGTTAAATACAGAAGTCTCGAGTTGAGCTAAACCAAGCCGTCGGAACAACCCGTACCTGCCATCTTCGACAATAGGGCTGGAAACACGAGCAGGATCGTATCTAGTCTGGTGTGTTAAGGAAGGGCCAGCAACTGGAGGCAGCTCCCAATAAACATCAAGAATTGACTCCAGGTACCTGCTGTTTTGGAAGTGCTCGGCATGGGAAATAGCCCTATTACTATGGTTAAAATCGTCACGCATGTAGCCTCGGACACCCCACCAGGATTCATATGGACCACAAAGTTCTTCTATATCCACTGCCTTTTCCCAGAACAACTTCCTTTTTGCTCTGATTCTAGCTTCATCACTGTCCTTGAAGCAACTGTGCCCACCTCCTAAATCAGAAATATAAAAGCATTCAAATAAACCTCAAATTCATTTGTCGCAGACATAAACTCACAGTATCAGTTTCAAATAAGTCAAAGCAACCCAGGAAATCATTTAGAATTCATTATATCCTGAAAATATTACAAGCATCACATGGATCAGTTCTAAATTTCTCTTTAGATTTCAGCTTTTGTTTGTATTAAGGAAGGCTCCTCGTGAGAAAATCTGTAAGGTCCCACATCGGTTAGAGAGGGGAATGAAACATTTCTTATAAGGGTATGAAAACCTCTCCCTAGTAGACGCGTTTTAAAACTTTAAGGAGAATTCCAGAAAGGAAAGCCCAAAAGAGGACAATATTTGCTAGTAATGGGCTTGGACCGTTACAAATGGTATTAGAGCCAGACATCGGGCAATGTGCCTGCGAGGAGGTTGAGCCCTAAAGGGGGGGTGCCAGCAAGGACGTTGGGCCACGAAGATGGTGGATTGTGGGGTCCCACATTGATTGGAGAAGGGAACGAGTGCCAGCGAGGACGCTGGGCCCCGAAGGGCGGCGGATTGTGAGATCTCACATTGGTTGGAGAGGAAAACGAAGCATTTTCATAAGGGTGTTGAAGCCTCTCCTTAGCAAACGCGTTTTAAAAACCTCAAGGGAAACTCCAAAAGGGAAAGCCTAAAAAAGGACAATATCTGCTGATGGAGGGCTTAGAGGGCTTGAGTGGTTGCACAATCCCCCAATAGATGATGTGAAGAAGAAATTGTGTCGTCTTTTAACCTAGGCATATTTAAACAGTATAAAAACAAAGCAAAGTGGAATGAGATACAAGTGGAAGAGCAGGCACCTTTAATATAGAACTGATCGCACATCTGCCTTAAAGAATAGTGATCTCCTGTACCAGTATCATAGTTATCCTCAAAAACAAGATGTTGAAAGCCGGCTTTCACAGCCTGCTTTATTCTGCACTCAAATTACAACACAAATTTTCAGCATAACAGCTTGTGTAGATCAATAGACAACAGAAATATTTTATCACAATAAAGTTCTGGTTACCTCTTTAGTTCATTCTGATGATCATCAAAAAACACAAGAACTCGACTAAGATCATCAATTCCATGTTCTTTCATCACTTTTTTCCAAGCAACACTTCCAAAATCTACAAAATCCTTTCCAGCAAAGTACGTACAGTTAGCATCAACGTAAGCAGGCCCTTTCTTCAAGTATTTTTCGGGGTGACGAGGTGATAGCGAAATAATTGCCGTATCTGGCATTGCTTGCCGCAACACCCAAGTTGAGTGTCCCTTGAATGCACCACTCTCAATCATCAAATCTGGCTTTAGCCAACGAGCAATGAACCAAAGGCCAAAGCTGTGATCAAAACCCATTCCATACATGTTGTTTTTTATGGGACGAGTCTCATAAATTGGGACAAACTCTTCCAAGCCCTTTAGTAAATCTTTTGTAGTCCATTCCACAGTCTTTCCATGTTTCGATCTGCCTTTTGCCAACGATGGGATTATAAGGATTCAAACAAGCAACAAGTTTAGGAACTTCATATCATTTAATCAGACTAGAACCTAGAGCTGTGAAGTCAGTGAGAATAGAACTAGTTCATTCATAAGGAACCTTAATCGTAATCCAGAAAATTCAACATTATTAAATACTTTAGTTCTGCATAGAATTTAATCAGCAAATTCAACAAGAAACAAGTTTAGGAATTTCATAGCATTTAATCAGACTACAACTACGAACTTGTTACAACAAAAGCGTTACACAGATTCAATTCCACAAACAACGCCGCTGTTTTCGATGTTTCCTTTTCATCATACAGAAAGTAAATTGATTATAGTTCTGCATCTAATTTTCAATTATATTGAGACAAGTATAAGAGATCTAAAACTCGACAATGCCAGAGAAATTAGAGTGGATCGGACACAATTCACAGGGAAGAAAGGGATAAACAAGACAACTTACACCAGGGCACACCGAGGGAACCGAAATCCGAATCCAGCCCGTCCACGCCGAAGAATCCAGAGCGGGAAATATGATCATAAGACGAAACGCACACAAATCTGCGGGAGTGAAAGAATATCAAAGAGGAAATCAAGAGAAGGATTAAGGCAAGGAGCGCAAGACAGGCCGAAATGGGTCCGATTCGAGCAAAGTAATTGGAAAGCCGGTGAGTGAAGGAGAAATTGTGCTTCTTCGTCTTCGAAACATCGTCGTCGTCGTCGTCGTCGTCAAGATCGCCGCTGTGATGAGGGACTCTACGAGAGGAGAGGGCGCGGTCAAGCATCCGTTTGGAAGTAGGGCTTTGAGGGGTTGAGGATTGAGCTCTCATGGTGGTGTCGAAGCTCATGGCGGTGTTGGTATGGTCGATTTCTAACCGAACAGTCTGTTTTGGGCTTGAAATCTTGGATTGCCATGCCTTCATTTATTTCCCCCTTCCTTCTCTGATCGACTCGACTACAACACCCACACTAATTCTCTTTCTTTCAAATTATATTTATTTCATGTTTTTAAAATTCACTAAATTTAGCTAACTTACATTTTTATATATTTTTTTTAATATATTATATTAGTTCACGCAATAAATTTAATTTTCTCTTATGTACTTAATGCATTTGTATTTTGAATACACATGTAATCATTTTTATTTTTATCTAGAAAATATCTTTTTACTATAAGGTTGGCTAGATTTTTTTTTTTTTTTTTTTTTTTTTTTTTGGTAAAAATGCTAGTCCATCACTTTTATAACGAGAGTATTTTTAATCTCTTTTTTTATTATTATTTAATGTATTATTATTAATTATCTAAAAAGGAAGTGTACGAGGTAAAAATCTCACTTATGATTATGAGACGATGATTCTTTTAGTGGAATAACAAATGACTATAATGAAGATTGGCTCCCTTCGAAGGAAATTAGGTAGATTACCAATTCACTGTTTAATAGTTCAAAGTTTAACTTGTGGGGGTCGGGGCTCTGTGGGTATTCATCTGGAATAGGATCGAGATTCACCATTTAAACTGGAATCGGTGAGAGACTGGGAAGATCTCTCTGTACTAGATAAATGGAAGATAAATGGAGACAATGACTGAGGTGACGGAAATAGGAACTGAAAGTCTTACGGCATTCGTGAATATCTCTACATATACTCTCGACAAAGATATGGATCGAATTTTCCGACCAAGACTTCTATTTCCTTATTTTGATAACTTTTAATTAAGATTTGAAGCTCCCATTAATGGACCCAATGAAACCCACACAAATAATAATCCTTAAAAAAAAAAAACAATAATGTCACACTACACATTTGGTTCCATTACATTTCAGCACACCCCAGCACTAAAACAAGAGAGAATGGCCTCTCTAAACTCACCGGACTCCTCACCTCCAAACATCTCCTTCTCCATTAAAGAAACCCGAAAAACAACCACCACCACCGCCGCCGCCACCGCCACTTCCTCTACCGAGGCGGCCGCCGGCCGCCGGTTTTACAGAAGCAGCTCCACCAAAGAACCTTCCTTTTCTCAATTCCCCTTCACACCTCCTCACCTCAACAACTGCCCATCTCTCCCTCAAAGCTTCCACAACTCCCCAGCCACCTCCCCTCTCCACCCAGCTTCTACCACCGCCGCCGCACCGACCAAACTCTCCGACCTACTGATTTCTCACCGCTGCGTCTCGTCTGTCCTAAAAAAAGACGGCCAGATCTTATCCATTGCCATCTTTAACGATATTCTCTACACTGGCTCTGACAGCAACTTAGTCAGAATTTGGAAGCTGCCGGACTTCACGGAGTGTGGCCAGCTTAAAACAAAGGCCTCCATGGCGGTGGCCTTGCAGGTTTCTCATGACAAAGTCTATGCGGCGTATAGTGATTGCAAGATTCGTGTCTGGCGGCGGAATTGGGATAGAGGCCTCAAACATCTCCGCCTCGCCACTATTCCGGCCACCGGAAATTATGTCAGAAGCTACATTTCAGGGAAGGACAAAATGGTAATTCAATTTTTCTCTTTTGCTTCTAAACTAAATATATATTTAAATCAAGATAGAGACATCACTGTATAGAAACCATCAAATTCATACATTAATTTATTTATTTTTCAATAAATATTTTTTTTTTAAATCCAATAAATATTGGTGTTGTATTCTTTATGACCATTATTGCTTTGGACATAGTTTCGGTTGAGCTACTCAATATACCATTTATTTTAAGTATATTTAATTAATACATTTAATAATATTGTTTTTTTTAATATATATATATATAAATTTACTAATTACATGTATTATAGCGCATTTCTTTGAGTTACTATTATTATAATATAAAAATATATATATTTAGGAAATTACATTTACGATTTATTGTAATTATAATTAAACATTTAAAAGTGATTTTTTTTTTAATGTGTAATAAATTTAAGGTTGAATTGGTTAGACGAACACGACTCTCCACGATGGTATGATATTGTCTACTTTGAACATAAGTTCTCGTGCCTTTGCTTAGGCTTCTCCAAGAGGTCTCATGCCACTAGAGAGAATATTCCTTGATTATAAACTCATGACGATTCCTTAAATTAGCCACGTGTGACTTTTATCATCCAATAGAATTAATTACGTTTCAGATGAAGCACATGGGTCCAATAACGTCGCTGGCGATCAACATTTCCGACGATGTTCTATATTCATCATCACTCGACAAATCCGTAAAAATTTGGCGAATCTCCGATTTCAAATGCGTGGAAACAATCCAAGCCCATTCCGAGCCAATCAACGCCATTATCGCCGCCGACGACGGCCTCCTCTACACCGCCTCCGACGACGCCACCGTCAGAGTCTGGCGGCGCAACTTCTCCCGCAGCGACCGCCCCACGCATTCCCTCGTCGTTACCCTCCCTACCAAGTTCTCTCCGGTCAAAACCCTCAGCCTCGCCACCGACTCTGGCCTCCTCTACGGCGGCTGCAGCGATGGATACCTCCACTTTTGGCTCACAGGGTGGTTCTCCGGCCAGCTTAAGTACGGCGGTTCGTTGCAAGGCCATACCCACGCGGTCATGTGTTTGGCCACCGTTGGGAAGTACGTGGTGAGTGGGTCCGCGGATACCACGTGTCGTGTGTGGGCCAGGGATGAGGTGGATTGTCAGATGCACACGTGTTTGGCGGTGCTTGTCGGGCACCGTGGGCCAGTGAGGTGCGTGGCGGCGTTTTCCGGCTCTGTTTCTGAAGAGGTGGTGGAGGAGGCCGACGACGGCTGCACCATTTGTAGCGGAAGCCTGGACGGCGTTCTTAAAGTTTGGCGCGTGACGTGTACGAAAAACGGGACACGTAATCGATCTTTGCAGAATGGGACGGAGTATTCTGATGAAATGTAATTACTAAATTACGTGGAAATTTTTATTAACTTTTAATTAATATAGGAGTGATCTAGTTTTGTATTTCTTGAAAAATTGCACTTATTTATTGCATATTTATTAAAATACATTTCAAAATTGTACTTAAATGTATAGTTAATTCATAATTTTTTATTAAAAAAAAGGAATCTGAAAATTGGAGAGTTATTTAATAATAATTTTATAAATTTAAGGTAACTAGGAAAATTAAAAAAAAAAAAAAATTATTGGAAGTTGGATTTTAAAAACAAAATTTAATATTGAAAGTCAACGTCCAAATTAAGACAGCTTGTCATGGTATATGACAACAGTGATGTGATGTTGACTTGACAGTAACTATATTAATAAATTGAAGCGTCAAATCAAAAAGGAATTGAATGAAATTCACCTCTGTAATTATATATTTGGGAAATGCACTGTCGGCTGTCTCTGTTTATCATGTCCTTCCTCATTTTTTGAATTACACCCAATTTTATTATTTTTTATTAAATTAATAAATATATTCCTAAATTTTATATCTAACCTTTTAAATTTTTTAATAATATTTTTAAAATTTAAATAAAAAATTGTTACTATTTTGTTATAAAACCATTATATTTAAAAAATAGCCTAAATACCCTTGAAAATATTTTTTTTTTTAAGTTAAAATATATTATTACCATTAATACACAAACGAAACCATTATTACACTCCAAATATCCAATTTCTCTAAATTTGTGTTGAGTTGAGGAAGAACCAACCAGATAAATAAAGGGCCTCTGTTGAAATTTATTATATAGAAAAATATTTAAAAATATTAGTAAAACTTTTAAAAGTTTAAAAGTATTTTTGAAATAAAGTATTAACCGGTTTCAATTCAAAACTAAAAAGTAAATTTTATTTATTTTTTAACATTTTGAAAATTTAAGAATACTTTTGAGAATTTTTTTAAAGTTTAAGGATAAATGGAGCTATGTCTTAAATATAGCTTGAATTTACTGTGAGACATGGATAGACCTGAACTGTGTGGCAGGAACCGTATTAATTTTTCTTGTTGCTGCCTTTAATGTTTAAAACTATCAAAGTTCTCGACCAATCTAAACTCATTTAGTCTGCTACTAAAATATTGGGAGAATTTCGATAACAACGAACACAATGATTGTTTAAACATCAAAAGAGGGGACTTGGGGTCTTATCCACGATGATATCCTGAATATCGAACGGACAATCAATCCCATGGAAAGTAATTAAAAGGGATTATTATTATTATTCTTAGATACATAATAGTCATCAAATTGAAGCTTCCTCTTCTCTACCCAAGAAGGTGAAAGAACAGGATTATTCATTTCACATCCACCAATCTCCTTCCTCAACTGTTCCACATTCATCTCCGACCTGTTCATCGCCGGGGGAGGAAAAAGCTTCACTCTCCAGACCTTAAAGCTCTGATCCAAACTGGCACTGCAAACCAACATATTCCCCATGTTATCCATCTCCATGCCCGCCGCCAAGCACCTGACTGGCCCATGGTGCCCCTCGATCACTGAAATGCACCAATGAACATACCCATTTCCTCTCTCCTCTCTCTTCCATATCCTTATCGCCGTGTCTTCTGACCCACTCAGAATCAAATCTTTTACCGTTACTAAGCACAGAACTGCGAAGTGATGGCCTTGTAACAACCCTCCATGATTGTACCTATCATGAATATGTTAAAACATCCTCGCTCGAGTTAAAGTAGGATAATTATATAAAATGGTTTAGACATTTTACGAACGAAGATTAAATATTTTAGAAAAAAGATTTACATATTTTAGGAATAGATTGTATTAGTTTCTACCTAGTGTTCTCGATTGAAGCACAGAGCATAGTAATTTCTACTGAGTGTCTTGAAATATCTCATATTCTTGATTGGTAGTAGTTTTTACAAAATGTCTTATAATGTCTCCTATTTTCAATTGATTTTAACAAAACGTGTGTTTAGGATTATTGAGAGTGCACGTTGATTAATTTAGTGGAAGATCGTGGGTTTATAAGTGAGGAATACTATCTCAATTGGTACGAGACCTTTGGGTGAAGCCCAAAGCAAAGCCATGAGAGTTTACACTCAAAGTGGACAATATCATACTATTGTGGAGATCCGTGATTCCTAACATAGTATCAGAGGCATGCCCGAGCCATGCCCTAAACTTAGTCATGTCAATAGATTCCTAACATGGTATCAAAGCCATGCCTAAGTCATGTCAATAGAATTCTCACATATTGAACAAAGAATTGTGAGCCTCGAAAGTGTAGTCAAAGGGTGTACGGGCTCCAGAGAAAGGAGTTGAGCCTCGATTAAAGGGAAGCTACTCGATTAAGGGCACTTTGTGTTCAACTTAATGAAGGAATGATTTAGGAGAGTATGTGTTCGATTTCCTCTCTATTTTCTATTTTCAAATTCTACTGGAAAATAAAAAATAGTTGGGTTGAGCTGTGATTTAACATTACCTACTCGAGGAGCTCTCCTTCTCCCAAAAGTTGATGTGGCCATCCGAATAACCCGAGTAGAGAAAGTTGCATGGTTTCGACGACGACGGGAGGCTTAGGGCGAGCGCGTTGACGGGGGAGAGTTGGAACTTGAGAATCATGGTTAAAATATGGGAGCTTTCTCCATAAACCCTTCTCCAGATCTTGACAGAGGTATCAGAAGAACAAGTGAAAACGCAACCATCTTCTTGGTTTATGACAATTGCATTTACATGGCCTTCATGAGCTACAAATGAATCTACACATCGATTTTCTGAGATATTCCAAGCTTTCACTGTGCTATCCCATGAACCTTCATCAATAAATAAAAATCTCATAAAACTATAACATTAATATAAATTTTCAAAACAAAAATAATATTAAAAATCACCCATCTCCACGGTACTATAATATTCTCTACTTTGAACTAACTCAAAAGATTTCATATCGTGATGTATTTCTTACTTATAAATCCAATCTTCCTTTCGAACAAAATACACTGTAGAGCCTCCCTTGAGGCTTATGGAGCTCTAAAGCAGCCTCTCCTTAATCGAGACTCGACTCATTTTCTGGAGTACTCGAACAAAGTACACTCTACATTCAACTTTTTTGTTCGACATTGAATATCATGTTGGGAATTATAGATCTCCACAATGATATGATATTGTCGGCTTTGAGCATAAGTTTTTTAGTTCTCAAAAGGCTTCGTACCCATAAATATGCTTACTTATAAATTGATGATCATTCTTGAAACTAGCCGACGTGGAACTCTGTACTGATGAATAAATAAAAACCCATTTTACCTGTATAGAGAAGCTTATCAGAATCGTTGTAAGCCAAGCAAGAAATGTGATCGGAATGCTGCTGCAGCTGCCGGCGGCCGTTTCTGACCACAAAAAGCGAGCGTTTTGGGGGCAAAGTCGAAATCTTTTTGGGTTTCAATCTCTTATTTCCCATTTTCACTTCCCAAATCCGAACTCTGTAATCCCCATGGGAACTAAACACCATCCTCCCACACGCAAACATGGCTCCAACTTGACCGGAGCTGGCCTTTATGAACCCAACTCCCGGGCACTCCGGCAGCTTCCACGACTGAATCCGCCCACTCTCCGACCCCACATATATAAACTCCTTTGTCATCGCAATTGACAGTATGTTGCCCTCCGGCCGGTGGAGAGAGGCTATGCAGTGGTAAACAAAAGGTTGCTGATTTGTCCGCGGCGGCGACGACATTGCCCACGGAATTGGGACGGACGCGGAGGAGGGTCTGGCCGGAGAAGTAGGGAAGAGAATGGGGTCGGGTAATACGGCGTCGTTTTGGGGTAAATCGATGCTTTTTGTTTGTTCTTCAATGGAAGTCCAGAGGTGGGATTCCATGGCGGATTGGGAAGGAAGATTAATTCAATTGTCTTTTTACTTTCAATTACATATTTAATCGATTATATATATATATATATATATATATATATATATATATATATATTAATTTCAGACAAGCCACCGTGTTCATATGTCCGGAGGGACGTAACGGATTAAATACTAGCAATGAGGGCTGTAACCGATTAAATTATTTTTTTGTCTCAATTTTGCTTACCATTTTTTCATCCGTCACACCTCGATCTTCAATAGTAGCACTAAGATTTGTTAGGAATCACGACTCTCCACAATAATATGATATATCGTCCACTTTAAGCATAAGCTCTTGTAGCTTTGCTTTGAGCTTCCTTAAAACACCTCATACCAATGGTAGTCTCGCTTATATATCCATGGTCTTCTACTAAATTAATCAACGTGGGATTCACTCCCAATAATCCTCAACAAGATTTAGTTGGTGGTAAGCTAAGTGTTACCTTTATTTTTCAGGTAAATGTAAGACACCTCGGCGCGAATGACGACATTGTAGTGACAATCATGAGAATAAAGCTACGGTAGATGCATTCATGTATTTCTTTTACTATGACATGAATAACTAGTTATTTAAAAAAACTTTTATTAGCCGCGTAATTTTTTTTTTAATGATATATCGAAAATAAAGTTATGTTTATAATTGCATAATAGGAAGGTTTGATCGTTGATTATTTATGGTAAATTAATCATTGCAAAGCAAGGAGTTCCTCTAAATAATGACATATTTTTTACACATTTTTGTCACTTTCATTACACAAATATAAACGTTTTTTTTTTAAATAACAAATTAAATAAATAACCAACAATATTAAATATAATCTACGCACGTTTTTTTAATTTTACTCGTGGTATATTTTTTTTTTTACTGCGACAAAACTGAGGTGAATATTTAAAATTTTTGGAAGAAGGAATTAAGATTAGGTTGATATTTACTCATAGAAATTAGGAATATGGTTTTTAATTATTTAAACTAATAAATAGTTAAAACCAAATTAGAAATGCGGATTTTAATTATTTAAAGTAATAAATAGTTAAAACCAAATTTCTGGTATTAATATTTAGTTAGGTGTTTTCGAAGTAAAATTAGATATCGGGTAAAATTTATTTGGTCGAAAAAATTGTGCGTGGGCCCAACTCCAAGATCCACCGTTGATCACAAAGACTAAATAAATAAATAAGCTTATCTTTTGATAAAAAATTTAAAATTTGAGGGTTAAAAAAAAAAAAATAAGTTGAGAAGAGGAAATTTCATTTATATTTCAGAAAGAAAATTTTAGAAGTTAAACAAAATTTAATCGCAATTCGCAGGTGGCACTGTGGACGTGAATTTCAGCGGTGGGCCGAGGTGTGGTCGTCGCCTGCACGGACCGGGTGAATCCGAAGTTTCTTCAATTCTGGCAATTTTTTTCCATCTTCAGATTGCAAGAACCTCGATTCCGATACTAAATTTCGCTTCACAACGAAGATCGGCTGGATTAAAGAGATTCAGTTTTTAATTTCGAACGAATCTGATTAGGTTTGCGTGGTGAGACTACTTGGAGGATAAGGTAAGCATTGATTAAACCGAAGGGTTCTTGGCATTTCTTGGATATCTGGGATTTGGATCAGGAATAGGATTGATTTAGGGTGGATCGAGTCTGCAGCGATTGTTTTCTGTGAAGGATTTAGTAGTCTTAATTGGTCAATATGGATTCGAGTCGGAGAGCTGTAGAGTCGTACTGGAGGTCGCGAATGATTGATGCGGCGACTTCGGACGAGGACAAGGTCACGCCGGTGTACAAATTGGAGGAGATTTGCGAAGTTTTGAGATCTTCGCATGTCAGTATTGTCAAGGAGTTTTCGGAATTCATTCTGAAGAGGCTTGAACATAAGAGCCCGATTGTCAAACAGAAGGTATCTACATCTTTTCTGCTCGTTCTGTTCGGATTCCTCTTATTTTAATTTTGAACTTAATTTGGTGGATGTGTTATCCAGGGAGTAGTATATTTTATCAGTGCAATTAGGACTTTTGTTCTCTGATTCTTCGGTGGTCTTAGAAAGTGCGGCAGAGTCAAGTAATTCGTTTTTGGGTTGTGTTGTAAGCTTCCTAATTCGGCGAAATGTTTAGTTTTTATGCTAGCTCGGGAATCGCTTGGTTTTGGTATTTCCACATTGTTCAAATGTTGATAGAATAATGAACACAAAAATTCATACATATCCCTTTCAGTTTTCTTTTACTTATGTTTTCTCAGAGATGATAATTTTAGAGCTTATAATCTGAAGTATTTTTTATATAATTGATATTGACTTAGCTTGTTTTGTTTTAAATCTTGTCTCTTCCATGATATTCGTCATTATAGACTGGGCGACATGAATATAATGTAGAATTGTATCATTTGGTTGATAGCTATTATATACTTTTAATTTAGTTTTTGTATTCTGCGGATGGCTAGTTTGATACTTAACTAGTTTGATACTTAACGCTCGCCGCAGCTTAATTAAAATTCCATGAGTTGAAATTCTCCCATTGAAAGTTTCCATGTGTTTTTCTTATTTGTGAAAATTTGAACTCGTGCTTGATTTTACTACAGGCTCTTAGGTTGATAAAGTATGCAGTTGGGAAGTCTGGTGTGGAATTCAGAAGAGAAATGCAGAGGCACTCTGTGGCTGTCCGTCAGTTATTTCATTACAAGGGACAACCGGACCCCCTTAAAGGTGATGCACTCAATAAAGCTGTGAGGGAGACTGCTCATGATGCCATTTCTGCTATCTTTGCTGAAGAGGATAACAAGCCTGCACCATCTGAGAATCTTAACCGTCGAATTCAAGGTTTTGGGAATTCAAATTATGAACCGCCACCAGAAGATAAAAAATCATTTCTTAGCGAGGTAGTTGGTCTAGGAAGTGCATCAATCAAACATGGTCTAAGTAATTTTGCACAAGGTCATTCATCAAGAAAGAATGGCACTAGTAGCCCTCGGGGTCCCAATCTTCAGAGGTCGTTGACTACTGAAATTGAGTATGATAATAGATATGAACCAGTTGAATATGGTCGTGAGACTCTGGGGACATCAAAGAGTACTACTAGTGGAACTTGGAACCAGGATTCTAGGGTAAGTAATGGGAACTCAAGTTCTGGCTCTTCAGTGAGCAAAACTCGAGAAGAGAGGTTACTGGAGACCATTGCAACAGCAGGTGGTGTGCGTTTGCAACCAACTCGAGATGCCATTCAAGCATTTCTTGTGGAAGCTGCAAAGTTAGATGCATTGGTGCTGAGTCATGCTCTCGAAACAAAGCTTAAATCCCCATCATGGCAGGCATGTTCTTGCTGTTAATAATCTTTTCTATGATATTATATGAGCAAAGGCTGGCTTTATGTTTTGGATTTAGAAAATGATAGTTGATATTTGTATGTCGATTTGTCACTCAATCTGATTGATGAGAATTTCACTCTTCAGGTTCGCTTCAAAGCTCTCTGCATCCTTGAGTCAATTGTTAGGAGAAGTGGCGACGAACATTTTTCAATTGTGACATCTTATTTCAGTGAAAATCAAGATGCAGTAATTGGATGTTCTGAATCCCCCCAGGCATCTCTTAGAGACAAAGCTAGCAAGGTAAATCATCTGTCTGCCTGCAAAACATAATGTTTATGCTTGTTTTCTCGTTTTCTTTGAGTGACTTTCTTCTTAAAGTTGTATTGGAGGCATGTTTTTTTTTTCCTTCCTGATGGGGAAAAGATCATATCAGAATTAACTCCTCCATCTTACTTAATCCTGTCGAGATGCAAAAGTTATTAGAATATCATAATTACTATGAGTTGTAGGTACTTGTTGACATTGTTATATACTAAGCCTTGTTGTAATCACTTTTTCTGTTACGATGTCTTACTTTTCATCTATAAGATTTGGTTGACTAAGGAAGCTGTTACTTCGCTTGACTAAGGAAATATTTCCTTGAATACTATAGAACCTGTTATAATGCTATTACTTTGCTTCTCCTTTGAAATGAATATTTACTCTTTAAAAATTGAAGGAAGCCTCTGCATGATAGTTGATGAAATTGTTGAATAAATCCGTCATTTGGATTTTTATCCTTTGATACAGTATAATTTGGTTACAATTGCTTGATAAATAATGTAGGCTCAACTTTGGGGTCTTATCCTGAAAAGGAATTATAATTTGGTCCCTTGTCTCTTTGGGCAGGTTATGCCTCTTTTAGATGGAGGAAAAGGAGTTCCCACCATGACTGATTCCGAGAAGTCTCTACCAAGCAACACCAGTTCCACCATTCAGATGCCAGACTTATTAGACACTAGTGATGCAGGTGATTACGGTGGAACAGACAAATCCTTAGAGGTGGAAAACCTGTCAAGTGTCCCATTAGTAGATGACTTATTTGGAGTTGGCCTAAACACCGTCACAAGCACCAGCGAACTAAAGAATGACGACGACCCCTTTTCAGATGTCCTGTTTCATACAACTGAAACTAGAGAAAATCCAGATGATCTATTTTCTGGGATGAACTTTGAAAATAATCAGGTTACTGATGAAAATAAAAAGCCTACCTCAGAACAGAAAAATGAACCTGGAGTTTTTGATATTTTCGGATCAAGTTCTGAACCTGCTGTACAAGAACATGCAAGGAAAGATGTTATTGATTTGATGAGTGGTTTGTCCATTCATGAAGATGCATTGAAGAACAAAGATAAAGGAGATTCTAAGGATTCACTTTCTGAATCTTTATTCTCGGTTTCTAGTCAACCCAATCATCAGAATCAGGTTCCTCATGATTCTTTAACTGGCACGTACAGTTCACCAATGGTTGGGACAAATATGAATGCCACCTATTTCCCTGGAATGCCTTATCTTCCCTCAGGCATGATGTTCAATCCAGCCTTTTCTTCTCAGCCAATGGGTTATGCTCCCACCGGAAACTTCTTTACTCAACAACAATTATTATCAGCCATGTCCAATTACCAACAGTTTGGGAAC